AATCCCTAATGTTCTATTTAAAGCCACTGTAAAACTTTTTTTTTTCTTTTTTGGTACTGGGGATTGAAGCCAGGGTCTCTTTACTACTAAGCCACATCCCCAACCCATTTTATTTTTTATTTGGAAATAGGGTCTTGCTAAATTGCTTAGAACCTCACTAAGTTGCCGAAGCTGTTTTTGAACTTGCGATCCTCCGGCCACAGCCCCAGCAAAGCTTAAATTTTGCTTCTCAAGACCTTCATTTCTATATTGAACATTTCCCTTAACTCTTTGTCTTCTTCTCATTCCATTTTATCTCAGTAATTTTTGTGGTTAGTGGAAGGAACCCTAAAATATCCTCTTGCCTTTCATTTTTCTCAAGTAAAGACTTCCTGGCCTTCATTTTTAGACTTTCATTTCCCCCGACTCCTTTCCCCAATCTGGACCATAGATTTCTGTTGTTTTGTGTTGATGACACTTTCTTTTTTACTTTTCTTTTTTTGGAGGGGTAACAGGGATTGAACCTAGGGGCACTTAACCACTGATCCACATCCCCAACCCTTTTTATGTTTTATTTTGAGACACAGTTTTGCTAAGTTGCTGAGGCTGGGCTGGCTTTGAACTTGCAATCCTCCCGCCTCAGCCTCCTGAATCAGGTGAGCACCATTGCTCACCCAGCCAACCTGTCCCTGATTCTCAATGAAGATCATCCTCCTATCATCAATTATTTGTTCTTTGGTGCTATTGTTTGAATAAAATAATATGTTTTTTGAAAGAATGTGGTAAACTTGAGTAAAATAACACTATTTTTAAAGGTTTTTGTGGTTAGGTTAAAAATTTAAAAAAAAAATTTGATTATTGGTGACCACAAATCTACTTCTTTCCCAATATTTTTCCAGCCAGCCTATGAGGGGCTGAATCTGTCAATTTATACTTGATTAAAAATAAAATAGAATAATGATAGTGCCCACTGGGCTCTTTTTATTATCGCATCAAGATACTTCTTTAAGGTTGACGTCATTTCATTGGGAGTTCTGATTCAGTTGCAGTGAGCATCATTAGTCTACAAAGTCTTAATTCTTTGAAATTTTTTTTTTTTTTTTTTTTTTTTTTTGGTGGACATAAGGCCTGGGATGCAAGCTCCTTGGATGTGGCTCCCTCTTCCAGGAGCGTGTAACTGCCTGATTCTCATTCCTCTTTAAGGCTGTTCACAATGAACCTTTTCAAGTGAATTGTGCTTCCATCCCACCACTGAATTTATCAGGTATTCCTGGAATCTGTGTTCTCCGTTTGCCTATTAATTCTAAAGCCTTTAATGGAATTGAAATATGACCTACAGGGAGGGCATCTTAAAGGAAAACCGGAGGAGATTTCATGAAGTGTGATTTATACCTGATGTGAGTTCCTTGAGAATTATTCTTTGCTCTTTTGGGTTTTTTTTTTTTTGCTCTTGAAATCTAAAATAGGAAATGTCTGCTCACCAAATGTACTTTCTCACCTTTTAAGGTAGAAAATGGTAAAATATCTGAATAGAATATGGACCATGGTCAGTAGGCRCTTTGTTTTAAAGCCCAGAAGCTAAACCATGTGGCAGTTTTTCTATCCATAATCTTGGAAAAGATGGAACACTCTGAACTCTGTACATCCCAGGTTTTCAGTTTTGGAAACACTGCAATGAAATTGACTCAGGTGCATTAAAACAGGTCTGGGACCATAACCTAGAGCTTCTGTATCTTTTATTATCTTTCATAATGAAAATAAGTGAAACACAGAYTGTCCTATAAATAGGATGTGGGGACCATATGATATCTTTTACATCAATAAGCCGTCTTGGAGGTAGGACATTGGGCATTGTGTTATCTGGGACGTGGGACCAAGGGGGCTAATGTGGAGAGTCACTGTGAACCTGTCCTTCTGCGGACTCCAGTGAACCACCCAGCTCTGCCCTTGGCTCCTTCTCTGGAGGGAAAGGAGAGCTGGGAATGTTTCCTTCACCACCAGCAGCTGCCAGCACCTATTTTGCAGTGGCCATGGGGCCTCTCCTGTCCACCACTCGGGGGAAGCCTGAGTGACCTCACACTCCACGCCTGCCTTCTCTGCAGGCAKCGAGGTCTCTGCTTTCTTCCTGCTCTCGTGAGCTTTTCTGCTGGTCAGTTCTGAGCTGTTCTTCTCTGAGTTTCATGAAGACTGCCCCTGCCTCAATGAAAATGCACATCAGAAAAGCACTCTACCATGTCCGACCCTATCCTTCATTGCCCCCCTTCCTACCCCTTCTGTTACTGTTCCTCTCAGAATCCTGAGCTCTGTCTTTATGCTATAGACAAGGAAATATTTTATTTTCCTATATTTACTAGTCTAATCTTTGTTTCCCTCATTTAATTGGAGGCCAGGAGCGGACCAAGGATCTGTCTCCTTCACCACGGTCTGGCTCCTTTGGGAGTCGCTGGGCTTATATCCGAATGTTTTAAGATGTGTTCATTTGCTTAGATTCCAACAGTTTCCATCAAACCAGAAAATGAATATTTTTCTTCTTTATTATGTAGCACTGTACCATTGTTGTTTCATGATAAAGAATTATTGCAGATTTGTGTCCTGGTCATGCTGCAGTGTGTGGATTAGTGCATTTGTCCCGATATAGGAGGATTTTTTAAAAATTGTTTTCTCAATATAGAAGTTTTTCACTACTTATTTGTTGTAATGTACAGTTTTCATGAAACAGAGAAAATTGAAAGCTTCCAAACCGGTTAGTCCAGTCAAGACTCTTAAGTGGCTTAAGCCTTTGATATTAGTTGAACCAAGTAAGGAAGTTAGTGAGGCTGCAGGGCTTTCAGGGATAATTTACTTTTTTTTTTTTTCTTTAACTAATCACTTTGTCCTGGGGGACTGTAAATGGTGTCTTTTGTCTGCATGCTGTTTGAAAGGAGGTGAAGGCTTGTCTTGGATAAGAAGAGGGCCTAGCTCAAGGAATGGGAAGCCCACGGTCCATCTGTATGTACTTCCTGTGGGGATTTCCTCCCAGGTACCTGGTAGGTTTAGACAAGTCTTTCTGAGTTCCCACGTCTTGTGACCTCGAACCTCTTTCCCTTCTCACGTTGGCAGGCTCTCAGTATCCCTCCACTCTGGTAAATGTCTATATTTTTACTTTTTCTTTTCTTTTTTTTATATTGCCTATTAGTTCTCCTCTCTCATAATCTCCCAGAGGATGTGGATGCAAACTGTTTTATTTTTTTAGTAGGTACCTATTTCTTTTAAAGGCCTATGCCTAGAATAAGACCAAGATTTGGGAGTTCAGTGACAACTTGGTGAATGAAACCATCTGTTTTTGTGTCTGGGGTCTAGATACAATGTCAGTGCCCCAGTCCATAAAGAAGGTGGCAGGAAAATCAGGACCAAACCACACAGTGTGTTTTGTTTCCTTCCTTCCCTGGAGAGAGACATGAGGAATAAGAAATTGAGTCCAACCTAGGGCCAAATTAAAGCCTGAGGATAGCACCTCTGCAGCCAGTCACCCACCTGCCCTGCCCCCAGATTGGGTTGGGTGCCAACCCTGTGTCCCCAGAGGGTCCTGTCCTTGTCACCTTACCCCACTTAATCGTCTGCATCATACTTATGGATCCATGTGCCTGTGTCTTCCTGGTTAGCCACCCACTTTGTGATTCTCCTGCACAGGTGTGTGCCTAGCATATACCTGCATGCCAGGTACCTGCTTGGTGCCCGATGAATATGCATTGAGTCAGTCACTTACCCTCCTCCTCATCAGTCATCCAAATTGCTACAGTCTAGAGCATATAAAGGACTTTGGTACAGGTGATTTTCTCTGTGTGTGTGAGGTACAGGGATAATTTTCCACATTTTGTACATGATGGAGGTAAGGTCCGGCCCATTGGTTCATAATATTGTGATACTCACCTGGACAGTTCAAAACCAGAAACCACCGAGGTTATCAGTCACATTCAAAAGTGATTCTGAGGTCAGAGATACAGGATTTTGCCTGGGGGAGAGAGTATATGTGTGTTCTTGAGATACCCGGAGGATGCAAAGTTCAGCAAAGTTCAGCAAAGTTGAAAAGTCTCTGGCCTGTTCTCAGTGCTTCTCAATCATTAATGGGCCGGTGATCTGAGTCAGAAGCAGATTATGATTCCACAGGTCTGGGTGAGTGAGACCCAAGAATTTTGCATTCCTAATGAGCTCCAGGTGAGGCCGAAGCTGCTGGTCCACAGACCACAGTTTTCACAGCAGGGCCTGGAGAACTCTGATATCCAGAGAAGGGAGCGTAGCTCATGCTCAAAGGCAAAGGTGCACTGTGGCAGCAGAATCAGGTACACATGCTGTGCCTTGAACTTGGAAGGGGAAACACCTCGGGTGGGCTCACCAGGGTCCCCTCCTTATTGATTTAACAAGTGTCTCTCTCTGTAATAGTGTAGCTCATTAGACCCCTGCTTGCAAATAACCACTCACTCCTTCCTTGGCCATCCTTGCTGGTTCTTTTAACTAGCACTTGTGAAATCAAGATTGAATATCTTGGTTTTACTATCCATACTATGAACTCCGTTCAAGGAAGCCAGGCATTTGTACATTCAGGTGAGTACCAGTACCCGGCAGGGGCAAGCAGTACTGCCTGTGGCTCAGCCCCTTAGGCACACAAACCAAGTTGCCTAGTTGGGAATATAGCTCTGCAGTAGTGTGCCTAGCCTACATACATAAGTGCTTGGATTTGATACCTGGGSGCCACCCACTCTACTCTAAAAGTGTTGGCCGTGGTAAGGAGTTCTGGCTCAGGAGATGGAGTGCCAACACCACCTTTTCCCACCTRCTAGCTTATCCTCAGTTTGCAACTCTGTAAAATGGGAAGAATGATAGCAACATGTAATGGTGCAGATCAAATTGAGATGGTAGATGTCCAGCAATTTGCCCAGCTCCTGTCCACGGGAAGTAGTCAGCACATATTTGCTGGAAATCCATCCAGAAATAAAAGGAGATGCATGGAATCGTGAATGTGCTCTTTGTGTTTGGCTTTTTAGTCAGGTCTAATAAGGACACGAAAAAATGAATTCCTCATCTCGCCGTTACCTCAGCTGCTGGCCCAGAAACACAACTACAGCTCCCCCGCGGGCCACCGTCCTCACGTACTGTACAAAAGGACAGCAGAGGAGAAGGTGCAGCGGTACCGGACCTCCCCTGGCCACTCCCCAAGTCACACTCCCCCTGCGTCCCAGAGTCCAGAGACTGAGTACCACCATCGAAGGTGGCAAAAGCAGCATTTTTGTGGACGACGCAAGAAATGTATGTAAGGAAACTTTTTCTCGCTCTGTTCTTAGTTGGGCCTCCATGGGGTTTTTTGAGTGCTGTTGGGTGACTCTGCAGGTTAAGATGGGGCTACACTGAGCACCTACAACCATGTGGTCTTGGAGAAGGACCAGTACCATTTCTGCCTGGCAGAAGCTGGATGAAGTTCTTCTGGGTGAAGCTAGGAAAGACTTAGATTTATCTTCCTTCCTTCCTTCCTGGCTCCCTCCCTCCCTCCCTGTCTCTCTTACTTCTCTTAGAGCATCTCTGAAATTTGGCCACGGTCTTATCTTGGTGATAATGATAAGAGAAAGCCAAGGCAAATGTCTAGGAGTGATTGTCTGTCCTTTTGGGGGACATAAGGAAGAGACTTGGCTCATGAAGAGGGGCAGCAGTGAAGGACAGGACCCCTGAGCATGCTTTGTGACCCAGGCACCACCTTCTGCATATTCTAGACAAGCAGTATCCAGTAGAAATACATTACGAGTCTCAAATGTCATTTTTAAATTTAACAGTTACATTTTTTAAAGTTTCAAAAGTTCAATTCATTTCAMTATCATTTTATTTRATTCAATATATYCAAAATATCATCTCAATAGGTAATTGTTATGAGAAATTGTTAATGAGGGATTTTGCCTTYTCTTTTCATATTAAGTTTTGCAAATCTGGTGTTTATTTTACTTTGGGAACTCAATTTGAGTCAAACTGATAAATTTTTATCAGAAATACTTAATCTGTGTTTAGATTTCAGAACATTTAAGGTTGAAAAAGTCGATTTACATACTATTCTAAAGATATACCTTTTTCAATAGCTGCATTGTAGATTGTACTTCAAATGAAGTGAAATGAAATAAGTGGATTCCTCTGTTGCACCAGCCACAGTTTAGTGACTCAGTAGCCACCGTGGTGAGCGGTTCCCTCAGTGGATAGCACAGGCAGATGAGGGCCCTTCTCAGGGAGAAGAAGAATTGGCATTAGTAGGAGTTTAATCCGGAGCACTAATAAAGTAGCGATTTTTCTCCATTTTTATTGATGTGAAACATCTCCTTGAGGAACATTCATTTAGCACCTGTCTATGAGGGTGGTGTCAATCACAGGGGTGAGATAGTGATGATGGCATGCATCCGACATGAGACATCAAAGCTCATCTTCAGAACAGCCTTATGAATTGGTAGTATTCTTTTTTTCATGGAAGATGCAACTGAGATCCAGCGTGACAGGGCTAATGAGCGGTCAGCTTGCGTTTTTACAGCTGAGTCTTCATGATGACCATCTCATGGCTCCATCAGTGGTTATAGTATTACATTATTTCTATTCTTGTTTAATACACAGTTATGTCCTGAGCTTTCTCAATGTCCTTTCCTTCCGAGGGCACCCTTGTTCTTGTCACTGTGTTTTGACCAATAGTGTCAGGCCTGCCCCTACAGACACTGCAGGTCTCTGCTCACAGACTGTGGTGAAAAGTGTTTAATATAGTGTTACCATTACCCCTGACTTTCCTGTTTCCCCAATAACTAAGGGTCCTCTGGGATGGCTCATCGTGTGCTATGTTTAAGACCACAAGCTAAGCACAAGTTTCTAGAGAAGTTCACTTTTAGTTTGGAAAATAACATGAAGTGTCATGAATTCAGATCCCAAGGGTAATGTCTATTTTTACGATTTCTGAGTAAAACAAAATTAGCATTTTTCTTCTTTAAAGATCCTTTCATTTATTTTTGTTGACCTGCTTTTTCTGCCAATTAGAATAATAGCTGTTTTTTTTTTCTGACTCTCTAGAGCATGTTGAGTGAGCTACTGATCTACCTGTCCACCCACCCACACATCCAAACAGCTATTGCATGGATTTTTCTTGACCGCACACTAGGTGCAAAGTGCCAGGGCAGACAGCTTAGTGGAGTGGTGCAGCAGGGCTGACCAGTCTCTCTCCTCCCCTATTTAGATCTCTCTCCATCTGTCCCATCCAGATATTCTCTACTGATATTCCTTCCACATGCTCTTATTTTCATCACAGATGCCCCCAAGCCTCCTAGTGAGGACACCTACCTAAGGTTTGATGAATATGGGAGCTCAGGGCGACCCCGAAGGTCAGCCGGAAAGTCACAGAAGGGGCTAAACGTGGAGACCCTGGTGGTGGCAGACAGGAAGATGGTGGAAAAGCACGGCAAGGGGAACGTCACCACGTACATCCTCACCGTCATGAACATGGTAAGGGAGGCTGTCACCTGTCCTCTGGCCCACGGAGGGCCGGAGTTCACAAACTCCCGCGTGGGCAGAATGACAGAGGGAGCCACATGGTTTCCCTGGGAGGGGACTGAGATGTGAGGAGGCTGCCTTCTCGGGCACGTGCCTGGTGAAATCGAATCCTACACACCTGTAAATAAGCCTGACGGGTTGCCCCAAACAGTTGTGAATTTTTTTTTKTTTTTGAGATTTTCKWAGMTTTCCATTGTTCCAACAGGTTTCCAGTCTATTTAAAGATGGGACCATTGGAAGTGACATCAACATTGTGGTGGTGAGCCTCATCCTCTTGGAACAAGAACCCGTAAGTGGCAAACTTCACTCATCTTTCTCTCCTTTGGGTTGCATTTATTGAATATCCACCATGTGCAGATCCACGCACCAGTCATTAGGTACTCAAATTTGGACTTACGCGAACCCTTTCCTCAAGGAAAGTACAAGCTGTTAGGGCTGTTTAATCCAATAGTGAAACTAAAACACCRCAAAACATATGTATTATAAATATGCAGATATGCACACAATTGGGACACAAAATATTAAATGTACATATAATATTAATGCAGTATAAAATATAAATATTATCTTATATAAAATATATAAATATTGCATAAGCTTTACTCTGCGGGTGCCTTTGATCATAGATTTAAGGATTACTTGGCTTTTGAAACTGGCTGTACTACATGATTGCAGTACATAYGGAAGGATRTTATGAAAGTAAGTTATCAGAGAATTCCTGTAAACCTGCAGTCTCCCTCGCACCCTCTTTGGCACAACAGAGAATCAACAAGGGGTCGTGACTGCCCTTGAATTAATTACAGTGAGGTGCAGGGCACAGGCGTGTGGGGACGATCACAAAAGCAAACATATAATAACATGCGAAATTGCACGGTACTCCCTGCTTCGGACTGTTTTGCCATTTAAGCTGTTTTTCTGATTAAGCTGTTTTTTTTCCGAAGCAGAGATTACCCATCCCCTGAGGCTTTTCCTCTTCATCTGTGACCCCAATAAAGAATGTGAAAGGCAGGGAGTCAGGGGTGAGACAGACACTGATCTAGCTGCCCAGGTGTGTAGAGCCAGGGAGGTTAATGACTTGTCAAATCCCTCTTGGAAGTTTAGAAAGACAGAAGGGGTGTGAGTTGGCTGGAAGACACTTTTGTCTCAGCCTACCACTTATCCATTGCCCCAGGACKTTGAAGCTAGAGACACCCTAATTCAGGGATAATTAAAGTTCTTTCTCAAACCCCTCAACTTGACCCAAGTCAGTAGTTTTGACTGAGCAGGCATTTTGGTAAGCGATTGCTTTAAGGGTTGTTATCTTACCCTTGAGAACTTTTGTTGCACTGATTAGTTGCTTTAAAAATGATGAGCATTTACCTAGTAGATATTTTTCCTGAATASATTTTCCCCCCTCCTGTCTTGGTTCAAGTGTTTTTGTCTACCTACCTTTTCCCTTGAAGCCCGGTATTTCTGTGTTCGCCTGTATCAATGGAATGACTCAACAGTTCTCATCTCTGTGGCCAAAACAGTGCTCTGATGATTGTGGGTTTTCCATAGGGAGGATTGTTGATCAACCATCATGCAGACCAGTCTCTGAATAGTTTTTGCCAGTGGCAGTCTGCCCTCGTGGGAAAGAATGGCAAGAGGCATGACCACGCCATCTTGCTCACGGGATTTGATATTTGTTCCTGGAAGAATGAACCGTGTGACACTCTAGGTAAGGTATGAACAGATCCTTTCATGCACACCTGTGTTCGGTATGGAAACTTCTGGATAAATGACCATTGATCCTTATTAGAGAGTCCTAATACAATCATCTCTGCTTATACACCCTGAGAGGGATGAGACAGGAGGGAATAGACCCTTATGAGACCACCATCCTATATGTAGCACACTGCCAACTCAAATCTCATTATGCAGCATATCACTATATTTAAATTGTGGAAGATTCTCATGGAATCCTGGAATCCTGGTGAATGTGRTTCTGTTTAACTGAACGTGGTGTGGAATAGGAAGCCATTTACTTTAATCCTTTTGCATTTTTTGTTGTTGTTGTTGACCCTGCTGTGATCATTGAGGTCTGATATATGTCCCTGTTTAACAGACCCATTGCTGTGACCGCAGAACTAGGTAGCTGAAAAGAAATTGACTGCTTTCCCTGGTACTGACTGTGCCACTAGGGAGCAGCGCCTCCTTTGGGAAATTGCTTGAATATGCAGGGCTCAGTTCTTCCCTGTTTGTGCAAGGCAGGGAGAAAGAGGACTTTTCCATCTAGGCTATATTTTCTAAAATGTTTCATTGCACTTGTATAGGATTTAACTTTTTTTAAAAAAAAATTTGATAAACTAGTGATTATCTGGATCAAGATCAGCAAACTTCCTCTATAAAGGGGCCAGAKAGTAAATGTGTTAGATTTTGTAGGTTAAGTCTCTGTTTTTAAGTACTCAGATCAGCTGTATGAGGACAACAGCAGCCACAGAAAATACATAAGCCAATGAGTGTAGCTGTGTTYTAATAAAACTTTATTGACAAGAGCCAACAATGGAAGCCATAGTTTGCAGCTAATGGTCTACAGCGATGATAAAATTTGGAGGGAGCTGAGAAAAGTTTACATGATTTGCTCACATCATTTTCTTAAAAGTACTTTCAAATCCCTCATGATATATTAGAGATAACGGTAGATAGGACTTTACAAAACTTTTGGTTGTATTTTTCCGATTAGGTGTAATATCCCCATAATGCCCTATAAATCTGTTTTAGTAATTCACCTTTAGTCATGGTTTGCAAAAAAAACACGATTTTAGGAATTATTCCATATGGGGGTTTTTTCTTAAATGAATTTTAAAACATTGCCTGAGTTTGGAATGTACAAAGTGATATCTAATAGCCCAACACAAGGTTGATGTTTTGAAAACATCTTCTGAGAAGGAGGCAGTTTATCAGTCAACCAAAGGTCAAAGTCTGATGAAARCAAATACAGTCCCAGGAATCCTACCAACTGTAGGTCACTCTCTTTAAGCCACATGTCCTAATGTAAAGAGTATGAGCTTTGACTTCACACGTGTCTGCGCTTGATTCCCAAATCTGGAATTTATGGTGGTGTGATCTTGAGCAAGTTGATTCCTCTTTCTGAGCTCAATTTCCTGATATGTAATCATAGCCAGACATATTGCACAGTGGTTCATGTTGGGAGCATTTGTGTAGTGATAATGCTAATAGGGCATATAAATTTTCTGTGCTTGATGCTCTCCTATATATAAAAGAGGAATTATAGTAGGTTTATGACCTCAGAAAAAAGGATGTTAGGAGGAACAATCAATGGCAATATCTAAAATCAGCAAAAAATATAACATGAATATTTATATATTGCTTCTACTACTACTACAGCACCCAGGACACAGGACTATATACCTTAAGTGTTTTTTTCTTGCTAAAAATTGAATGCATTAATCCATGAAACTAAAATTGTGTGGAGCATTTGGAGAAGGTGATAAATGATCATGCATGCTTGTGCCCTCTTGGGATTAACATCTGACATTGATCTTTCCGTAGGGTTTGCCCCCATCAGCGGGATGTGCAGTAAGTACCGAAGTTGTACCATCAATGAAGACACGGGGCTGGGCCTTGCTTTCACCATTGCTCATGAGTCGGGGCACAAGTGAGTGGCTCCTTGATTCACCACTTTGCACAGAAACTGGCCAAGAGGTTCTTTGGCACTCCTCTAATGATGGATATTGATCTGGGTGGAATAAACGGGATAACTCATGAGTGCAGCTTAGAACAGGGCCTGACTATAAGAAGAGCTCAGTCAAGGCCAGTTATTATTCATGTTGCTCTTTTTATGCTGCAGCATTATGTTGTGTGCAAAAATGGATCACAGGTTTCTTCATTGATTTTCTGATCTTTTAGGCATTTATTTTTCTTCATGTTTTGCTTGAGTGAAGATACTTTCAGCTCATTCTTTACATTAAGGAAATAATCATGGAGACCTGCAAACTTCCAGGATGCAATAGCTTGCTGATTTAAATAAGTTTTTGTTGCACATCCTGGATATCCTTATAGTGGGTAATATTGTGTGCAGTTATTCTTTTAATTGACGTGATAAATCTTTTTTTGTGAGAATAGAGTTAGAAACAAAATGAGAAAACTGTGTAGTGAAATGAATTCATTTTACTGGGCATATAATTTGCTCAGGAGACAATCTCCAGAGAATTATCAGACACTTGAGCAGCCACAGCTGCACTGGAAGAAATATCCTCGCACAAGGTTCAAATATACTGCTTCACAGGGTTTCAAAGTGCACTGCTCTTTGGACATACCAATTTAGGAGTATGTGTACATATGAACAGTGTGTGCACATTTTATTTAACATATAACTTTTATACATCTTCTGAGCATCTGGTTCACTTCTGACATAAAAGCAAACATCAAGCTGGGCACAGTGGTGCATGCCTATAATCCAGCAACTTGGGAGGCTGAGGCAGGAGGATCGTAAGTTTGAGATCGGCCTCAGCCATTTAGCAAGCACCATTACCTCTGTCTCAAAATAAAAAAAAATAAAATGGCTCAGAATGTGTCTCAGTGGTTAAGCCCCTCTGGGTTCAATTCCTTGTATTAAAAAAAAAAAGCAAACATCATCCATTCAAAAACTGTAATTCATAGTTTGATATTTTTGGTGCTGATGTATTTTATGAGCTAAGTTTATTATCTTCAGGAAGTCTGAATCATGGCCACTGCTCTTAACCAATAGTTTCCCAGCATTTTATTTACATATATACATAACCATCTTCCCGTCGAGGTATAAATGAGCCAATTTTATTGTGAATGGAGGTGCAGAGATGCCCATTAAGCACAAAGCTCTTTTGTATAGAACAGGAAATAAAATATCTGTTCATGTTAAGCATATGTCTGAATTTGTTCCATGAGCATGAAGTCCAGATTAACGGAGCTCCCGTACACAATACTGGCATTGAAAGATGTCATCATTCTTACGTATGAGTTAAAATTACCCAAGACCAAACCCAACATTTTAGATAAAGGGAAACAAAAACATACCCTTTAGGTAGGGTGGGAGAGAGGAATCAGATGTAAAGTACAAGTTCTAGGTGGAATGGCCTTGTAACTTTAGGTTTTATGGGGCAGGCATATAAAGAAAATATTTTCTAAAATGCTACTAAGAAGTTAGAAAATTGAAAATTTTTAAGGACAAAATTTAATTCATATTCAGTTTTCTTGTGTCCAGGAAATTCCAGAGAGGYACTCATGAAGCACCATTACCTCTTTGAGTAATATCTTCARTCTCTCCCCATCCCTTCTCCGTTTGGGGGAAATCGTGCTTTTCATTTACAGGTTTCAGGCTTTCATAAATATTGTTAGAAGGATTGTTTCCCACACAAATCTCCTTGGCTTCCTGGTTAGGTACAAAGAATTAGGCAAAACTGAAGATGGCAAAACACTTTTCCCTGCATCTATGTTGAGATTAATGAAGACCTATTTGTGCACGGTCATCTCTTAATACCTAGGGAATTCACTGATAGAATCAGGTATCCAGCCACCCTGCCATTTCTTGATTGAGAAATTGGACAGAATGTTGGGAAAATGGCCAGATTATGGACACATGGGTCACAACAAAGCCATCTGTGGTTTTACCATTATCTATTTGGTATAAACTGCCTTCAAAGGATAGCTATAAAAATTAAATTATATCACAATAACATCTTTATTTGCACACACAGGAATTACACCTGCCTTATAAAAAGGCAGGTTTTACTTCTTTAAATGATGAGATTAAGAACCTCCTAACTTATAACAACATTCCCATTTATATCCCTCTGTCCTCTGCTTTCCTTTAAAAAAAAATAGTCAAAAGGCTTTTTTGTACACTGAATGTTTTCTTTATAGATGATTAAAGCAGTTAGGGAACTACCTAATACATGCCGTTACATAAGCTCTGTCTGTATCGTGGGGGGATATGCAGGGTATGTGCACTAATAACACATTTATTCTACCAGTTAGAGAACTAGAAATCATTTAGTGCCAATGTACATAATTTCTAGGGAGTAGACCTCCYAAAGTCATTTTTACTAATTGGTAGAACCTTTTGCAATCAGATGGAACAAATTAAAAATTTTCTTCTATATTTAAAGGAAGTCCTTCATATACTTTCAATAGATGGTTTCAACCATTAATTTTTAAAGATGTTTATTATGATAAAGGAATTGTATTCAGAGTTTCTGATTTCAGCTAATAAGTTGATCATCATGGGGGAGAAATTTTTAGATCACACTAGCCTTACGTACGAACTGTTCTTAAATAACTTGTAATCAATGATCTTCTCTCTGCACCTACCTCCTACTCRCTTCTGAATTTCCATGCCATAGTTGCATGATTGGAGGCAAGAAAAACATTTCGCAATTTTAAATTCTAGAAGTTGACTGCCCTATCACTTTAGCTTAGGAATCCCGACCAAGATTTTCTAACTCTTAAAGCATGTAGCAGATCCACCATTATTTGATCTTTGTGGCCTAGAAATAATATCTTACAGCACTTAGCATTCTTTAAAGTCCTCTGGGTGAATTTTATAGCCTTCTGTAGTATCTCATTTTTGTCTTTCTGTGTCTTACGATTTCAATGCCCGTCTCTCAYTGGGGTCCCTGAATTCTCAGTGCATCTCTCGGCTCTCTCTGGTTGTCATTTGGAAAGTGGACCCGCAGCTGGGTGGTCTTCTGCATTCCCTTTCAGCTTTGGCATGATTCACGATGGTGAGGGGAACCCCTGCAAGAAGGCGGAAGGCAACATCATGTCTCCCACGCTGACCGGGAACAACGGGGTGTTCTCATGGTCTTCGTGCAGCCGACAGTATCTCAAGAAATTCCTTAGGTAAGAGGCTAATGCCGGAGGGTGCTCCAGGGCTGGAGTGGTGGCAGGAAAGAGTGTCAACAGGTGTGAATACAAACCTTAGTAGAAGTGTCTTTTGCCCTCCATGAGCAGAAAAACCAGCAATTCCACTGATGGTGTCTTGGCCTCACACTGGGCTAATTACTCGCCACACACTGCCATGTGCACTCCCCTTAGCAGTCCTACTACTGTCTCTCCCATAGAGTAGAGGAAATGAGTCTTCAGTTAATGGCATTGCTGAAGTGCTACACTCGGTGCCCTGCAGATGGAGGACTCACACCAGGCCTACTCTGACTTCAAGATCTGCACTCAGAACCCCATCTCTCTCTCCTCTCTGACTTCCAGAGGCTGCTGGACATACTGCCTTTTCACTGTCATTATTTTAATCGGATCAGTTTGTCTTGGAGTTATAAAAAGTGCTCCAATGATATATTTTTTTTTAAATGAATAGAACATTTTCTTGATTGACTTTTATTTGAAATGGCATGGGCTAGCTGTATGTCCAAAAGACATCCAAAGGAGTTAGCACTGGGTAAAATCCTTTTGATAACTCGGAACTCCCAGACTGCTTGAGTAAAAGCAGGAGTTTTTTGATTCACATTAAACAATGAATGCTAAGTTCAATTATATGTGTGTAGGTGAACCTTTTTAATCTGTGTTGACCCACATGAGCTCTTAGGTTCTGATCCTGTTTCTTTTTGACCAGATGTTAGTGAAGTTTCTTTGGGAACAGACATTTTTTGATTCTTTTTGACCCCTACAAATGTATATTATTTGCAAATGTTCACAGAATTAGCATAGGCRAGGCAAAGTAAATTCAAGGCCATCTAAACAAATGAGGACCCTAGGACATAAAAAAATAATAATAAATGTTTTGCTCACAATAAGCTTTGCCACATAGATTTTCTTATTAGTTTTCATTTTATTATTTGGGGCCTGAAATGATCTATTCCAACTCATCTGAGAATGGAATCAAGAAATATTATAATTCATAATTGACTTGATGTAGATGGAATTTTCATCACTAATATGTTACTGTTAAATGGTTTGTGTTAGTAATAATAGCAACAGCTTCTAACTTTTCTTACAGTGCTGTTAAGCCATTACATTTCCTTGTTTGATTTGGGTATTAACTCTCACAGGCGTCATTGTCATTAACAGGGGGCCTGAGAATTCTACAACTTGGTCTTGCACGCATGGTCCATAGGACCTCTTTCTGTCTGATTCCAAAATTGCATTTACCCACCCATGTGAGTTAACCTCTCTGTGATACCACAGTTTAATTACTTAAGTGGAGATAATGTGCTTTCTAAGAACACACACATCAAGACTGATTTTTGTCCCTCACTTCCCAATTCAACAAACCTCAGATATTTTTTTTTCCTTCATGTCTAACATGCCCTCCTCCTGGTTTTCCCAGTCACCTTATTTATTTATTTGTGTTTGCAAAGCTTATTTGAGGTAAAGTGCATCTTTGACCTCTGCCTCACCATCTATAAAAAGCACGACATGATTTAAAGCTCTACAAAGTCAGGTACTGTCTCTGTCTGGTTTGTTTTGTATACCTTTAGGGCTTGGTCTAATGCTTGCCAGGGAGAGGGCACTCAATATAAATGTGTTCAACATTGCTGAACAAGATCGTCGGGTTGAGTTCTACATGTTTACCTTTCCCATCCAGTCCCAAGCCACATCAATTGGACGGCTAGAACTTCTAGCACCCATCACACCCCCTGATGGCTGTGCACATTCCTTCCCCAGGACAGGACCCACCCTTTGCAACAGTTGTGCACTTTAATGTTAAACATACCCATTTCTTTAGCCTTGTTAGATTTTTCTTTGCATGACTGCATTCAGAGGGGTACTGTTTTAAGCGGAAAGATCACAGATCAACAGAGTAATTAAAAGCCATGTGTTATCATTACAGCACACCTCAGGCTGGATGTCTAGTGGATGAGCCCAAACAAACAGGACAGTATAAATATCCGGACAAACTACCAGGACAGATTTATGATGCCGACACACAGTGCAAGTGGCAATTTGGAGCAAAAGCCAAGTTATGCAGCCTTGGTTTTGTGAAGGTATGTTGCTTGTGATTTCAAACTTACATTAAGATTCTGCAGTGCATCAATGTACCTACCCAAAGGATAAACATTTGGCTTGCTGAGGCCAAAGGTTAGAGTCTGGGTTATCTCTCAAATGTCAGTTGTTTGGCATGATAATTAAGTGGCAATTTTACTGTCAAAGATTTATCCGGACTTATCCCCCATAGACCAGGCCTGGTTTCAATACCACTTGACTGTATCCTTGGAAGCAAATTCCTCCTCCTTGGATGAAGAATGTATCCCTAGCTGTAAATATGGGAACAATAGCTTTTGCCGGCTGCTAATCATTGCTTTTGTTCTCTTCCTGTTCATATTTCCTTTAATATAGTACACTTAAAATCATCACCACCCCACATACTTTTTATAGTACAAGGAAACTGTTATTGGCAGTCAAATGTTTTGAGTATGTAAAAATACACAGTGTATCTTGAGTAGGCTTAGTGAGATTATTAAGTATTTTTTAAAAAAATTGTGAAAATGATAAATGGGAAAATGCAGAAGCCCAGGATGTAGAAATGAGAGCAACCTCATTTCAGTTGGTCAAGAGTTGCATTGAGAGAGTTACGGTACATGAATAAAGAGTAGGATTGCTTTTAGGTTGGTTTGTTTTCAGTGTCCAGTGAAAAACATTGAAGTCCTAGGTACTTAGATACAGGGAACTATGAAGGTTTATAGCTTCTCTTTCTCCTTCTATTATTCCTCTCCTTTCTCCTCCTCTTCCTCTTTGCCTAATTTCTCCCCTCCCACCACCACCAATACTAGTGTCCTCACCATCGTAACAACATCATAATTACCAACAGCACCTTCACCATTTCTGTTCACCAACACCACGATGATTATTCACCATCACCACCACTACCATTGCCACCGCTGTTCCCCATTCATCACCATCTTCACTGCCACCACCACCATCCCACCTGTCACYTACGCCACCTTCCACCCTCCCTCACTACCAGCATCTCTGTTAACACTACTACCCACTGTTATTTTCAGCAGTTTCTAAGTGAACCTCTGTTCCACACAAGGCATTTGCTTAGAGATTTATCTCACTTGACTTCAATCTTCCCCCAAAATCTTTGAAGTAAAAATTATGACCGCTTTTCACCTGGAGCTGAGAGAAGATATTTAATTTGCTCAAAACCACAAAACTTGTATATGGTGAAACCTTAACAAAACAAACCATCCACGTTGACAGTGTTTCCTTCTCTCAACTGGCGAGCACCAGGTTTTCCTAAACTAACATTCAGTCATTAACAACTACCTTCACGATGTCTGTATTTTTTCCACATTTTTATTGGTGCATTGAAGTTGTACATAATGGTGGGATTGGTATGTTTCTGTATTTTTATTCACTTAAATCAACTTACTTTCAAAATAGAAGTTGAACCCTAAAAAAAAAAATCTATCAAATCATGGATTTGATATGGGGCTATATGTTTTAATGCAATTTGAGTATATAACTGTTAATCTGGTTCCTCGTGTGTGTGTGTGTGTGTGTGTGTATGTGTGTATGTGTGTGTGTGTGTGTGTGTGTCTGTATGTCTGTCTCCATGTGTCCCCATGTCCTCCACACCACATAGACTTGACTTCAGCAAATGCTGGTATATCATGTAAAGTTACTAGATTTACAGCTGTTGCTATTTGCCTTTTGAGACTTTTGTTGAAAAAGTTTGTCTCTTTGCCTGTCACTTCATTCAAGAGGATTCATTATTTTTCTCAATCATCCATCAGATTTGTATTACGCATTTCCTATGTAGCAAGGGCAGAATTGGTTGTGAGTATTTGTTTATAAATACAAAAAAAAAAAAGTTCCTAAAATTACTCTCATTCTTTCAGGATCATGCGTGCAGCAAGCGCTTGTGGGGCGTCTGCTCTGGGCCAGGCAGTGTGCAGGGCTTAAGCAACCATTCTTAAATAATAGATTGTTTTCTGAAAACCACCCCCACCCCCATATTTTTAAAAGACAGTATGTCAGTCTGAGGGTCTTCCCTGGGAAGCAGAACAAGGGGAAATGGAATTTCCAAACTAGAAGATGGACTAAAATGATGAGAGGCACAGAGACAAGGATGTCTGGGGCAGGGGGTGGGGGTTAGTGAGACTTACTTAAGAGATAAGGTGGTGTTGAGGGAAAATGAGGCAGGCTGACCTGGCTGGTGGATCCTGAGTGTGGGTTCCTCCTCCACAGCCTCGCTTTCTATATCATTCCTAATCCTAATTATAACCTGAGTCAGGGCCACATACTCTGAGGATCCTAAATGGGCCCCGCTGGGCTCTAACCAGAAGGGGTTTCTAGAGCAATTGAACCTGTTTGTCCTGCTCCAGCAGGACAGCAGGAGATCACATATATCCAAGGGCCTGCATTAGCCCATCATGACTTTCTACCCCTTCAGTTTGCCACCTTTTCCCTTTAATCCATGACTCAGAGAAAGGCAGTTTTGCGTAGTCGTTAGAAGCACCAAAACAAACACCAGAGCCGGTTCTYAACGTGTCTTCTCCAACCTGCAGATAGTTTGTCAGCATCACCTGGAACTTGTTAGAAATGCAAATGCTTAAGTCCCGTCCCAGACCAGAGGAATAAGAAACTTGAGGTGTTGTCAAACTTCTCTATTTTAGAAAACGTTCTGGTTGATTCTGATGCAAGTTCAATGTTGAGAACCAGAGGTAGATGACCTTCAATGTTAAACACACACACACACACACACACACACACACACACACACACACACTCTGACAATTTCAAACTAAATAGACCTGGGTTTAGGGTTTTAATCTACCACTTGCTAGAATCATCACTTGGGCAAGTGACTCTGCTTCCCTCAGCCTTAGAGTATACATGCACAAGGAGAAGGTAATATTTATTAGTTCTTCCCTGGAAAACCTGTGGGGATTAACCTCTTGATGCATTTGTATCACTGGGTAGGAATGAGGTGGCTTCCTCTTGCTGTCTTCCCTCTGTCTTCAGCATTGTCATTACCATTACACTTGACTCTGCTTTCACAGCAGCTGCCTTGTCAAAAGGGTCTGAAGACAGCTGTTTTTATTACTTGTTCCCACTTCCCCTCTTCTTTCAGCCTCAAAATTTCTGGGTATCTGGCACATAACACTTGATTTTTGTTCCCATCCAAAGTGTTTGTATTAGTCAGTATTTCTTTGCTATAACAAAATTCCTGAGGCAGTCTATTTGAAGAATGAGAAGTTGCTTTAGCTACAGTTTTGGAGGTTCATGGGTATGGTACTGGCATTAGCTCAGCCCTGATGAGGACCCTCTTTTCTGCATCCCATCATTGGTGGATGGAAAACTCAGGACATGTGTGGAGGCAAGCAATGAACATTGCTAAATAGCAAGCCAGATAGGCTGGATGGGGTCAGGTTCAGGATTGTATAAGAATCCTCTCTCCAAAACTAACCAGAATTCCATGAGAAATACCTTTATCTCTTTTAAGGGCACACTCACAACTGACCCGATGACTTCCTACCCAGTCCCACCTCTTAGTTCCAACATCTCCACACCAAAGACCAAACTCCCAACACATGGACTCTTGGGGGACAAAGCACACCTAAGYCATAGCAGTGTTGATGAAAATGAGTTGTTAATCTGGCTAATAGTCCATGTTAGTTGGGCAGCCCTACAGGAGGGTTACTTCGGTACCCTCTGGGGAGGACATCCACTTGGTTATYACACACTCAGAAATGTTTCCTGGCTCAGAGAGTGATCGATGCTGTGAGTCAGAGGTCCATGCATGGCAGGGGAGTCCAATCAGTACTTCCRTGCAGGTACTGCCCCGAGTTAGAAATGGGCAGCTGAACAGCTGCTCCATCTTTTGGTTGATGCTGTGGGTGGGCAGGCAGCACTATTCTGTCATATAGCAAGGTCTGTCGTGTTTGCTTATAGGCCCACTGAGAGAATTTGAAGCTAAAAGGAAATTGTGGGGAAGCTATTTTCATTCTAGTGAACGTTTTGGGACCATTGTCTCAGAAGGCATTCTCTTTGAAGGATAGTAGGATGTGTATGTGTTTCTTCTTCTAAGAATGTGACACTGGGATGAAAGAATGGAGGATAAATAGAAACTTCCTAGTATCTCATCACGCCCCCTTTGTAATATACCAAATTTATTACATCATGCTTCAGTGTCTCCTGACTTCCCCCACATACTTATGTCCCGACAATATTGATGTCCTTGTGAGGGTTCCAAGTATTTCCTCTCTCCTGTGTCCAAGACCTTGTCTGTGTATTTCCCCATCTTAGAACACTGCATGGCCACCGGAGGGACAAACACCTCATCATTTTGTGTTGTTGTTGAAGATTCAGCTCAAGAGTTACCTCCTTTATCCCCCACAGAGACTGGAACATTCCTTTCTCTGGGCTTTCTCTCCATCCTCTGTGTTAGCCTTACCACCTTGTCACCATCTGTGTCCTTGCCCGGTGGGTGTGGTGCCTAGCATGGCAGACAGGATCGCAGGTGCTCAGTGTGCATTTCTGGATTAGCAATGAGGACTGGAGCCCACATCTTTTTGGCACAATTCCTGTTTCCGTGGAGTGGAAGAGGATGCTGTCTTTTCTCATCCTTCCTCAAGGAAGCAGGCTTGACTTGTCTGAGCAAGAAGGTGTGTGAGCCTGCGCACCAGAGGAGCTTCTTAGCATCCTGTGTTTGTGCTCTTGCCTCCAGGAGGCATGCTTCTCTTCCAAAATCCTCTAGGGGGTCTGCCTTGGATGGAGACTTGTGTCTGTCTGCAAATGGGGAGGGCTAGTTAGTTTAGCACAGCATTAGGAGACCCATTTGGCYACTGGTCTCAGCCACTTTCTCCAATTCATCTTCAGCTGTGTATAATAAGATGATGATTTTGATCTTCGTTTGCCTGACTCCAGGGTCTTATTTGTCTACTGGTAGAACAGATAGGGGCCTTATTTATTGTTGCTTTTCAATCCAACAGTAAGGAAATTGAAGATAATTATCTAGCCACGATCAGGCAGAAAG